ACCATTATCTTTGCAGATGGGACTAATTCGCTACATGGCGGGCACCTCTACGTCGATGCAACTTTGTGTCTTGGTGAACAATGGCCGACCTTTAAAAGGTGCAGTTTATGATGGAGCGGCATTCTGTCACCATTATCTTAGCAGATGGGACTAATTCGCTACATGGCGGGCACCTCTACGTCGATGCAACTTTGTGTCTTGGTGAACAATGGCCGACCTTTAAAAGGTGCAGTTTATGATGGAGCGGCATTCTGTCACCATTATCTTAACATATGGGACTAATTCGCTACATGGCGGGCACCTCGACGTCGATGCAACTTTGTGTCTTGGTGAACAATGGCCGACCTTTAAAAGGTGCAGTTTATGATGGAGCGGCATTCTGTCACCATTATCTTAACATATGGGACTAATTCGCTACATGGCGGGCACCTCGACGTCGATGCAACTTTGTGTCTTGGTGAACAGTGGCCGACCTTTAAAAGGTGCAGTTTATGATGGAGCGGCATTCTGTCACCATTATCCTTAGCAAGATGGGACTAATTCGCTACATGGCGGGCACCTCTACGTCGATGCAACTTTGTGTCTTGGTGAACAATGGGCCGACCTTTAAAAGGTGCAGTTTATGATGGAGCGGCATTCTGTCACCATTATCTTAACATATGGGGACTAATTCGCTACATGGCGGGCACCTCGACGTCGATGCAACTTTGTGTCTTGGTGAACAATGGCCGACCTTTAAAAGGTGCAGTTTATGATGGAGCGGCATTCTGTCACCATTATCTTAACATATGGGACTAATTCGCTACATGGCGGGCACCCTCTACGTCGATGCAACTTTGTGTCTTGGTGAACAATGGCCGACCTTTAAAAGGTGCAGTTTATGATGGAGCGGCATTCTGTCACCATTACCTTTACATATGGGACTAATTCGCTACATGGCGGGCACCTCGACGTCGATGCAAACTTTGTGTCTTGGTGAACAATGGCCGACCTTTAAAAGGTGCAGTTTATGATGGAGCGGCATTCTGTCACCATTATCTTAACATATGGGACTAATTCGCTACATGGCGGGCACCTCGACGTCGATGCAACTTTGTGTCTTGGTGAACAATGGCCGACCTTTAAAAGGTGCAGTTTATGATGGAGCGGCATTCTGTCACCATTATCTTAACATATGGGACTAATTCGCTACATGGCGGGCACCTCTACGTCGATGCAACTTTGTGTCTTGGTGAACAATGGCCGACCTTTAAAAGGTGCAGTTTATGATGGAGCGGCATTCTGTCACCATTATCTTAACATATGGGACTAATTCGCTACATGGCGGGCACCTCGACGTCGATGCAACTTTGTGTCTTGGTGAACAATGGCCGACCTTTAAAAGGTGCAGTTTATGATGGAGCGGCATTCTGTCACCATTATCTTAGCAGATGGGACTAATTCGCTACATGGCGGGCACCTCTACGTCGATGCAACTTTGTGTCTTGGTGAACAATGGCCCACCTTTAAAAGGTGCAGTTTTATGATGGAGCGCAGTATTCTGTCACCATTATCTTAACAGATGGGACTAATTCCTTACATAGTTGGTTTTCGTGTTTCTTTTTTCCTCATGTGTAACGTGAATACAAGACTGTTTGCCTTAAAGTCCTCTACGAAAGCATCCCTCCTCTTAGGTGTTGAACTCTTGTGTTTTTTGTCATATTCCAATAACCTAGTGTAATTGTCATAGAATTTAAGGAATAGGGTACCATGATGGATGTTAAAGGAAGTAATAATATTGTTACGAAATGTACAGGCGCGTTAAGATGGCTTCCCCGCAAAGAAGTTTGAGGGTTACCACATTTGGCGAAAAATCGCCCATTTGGCGACCTTTGGCGACAGAATTGGCGATATACCAAGAACGGATGAAGAATTTTCTGGAACGAATTCTTACTGGTTTAGCCCAGAATGTTCTCGAACACAAACCGAAAGCTATATAAACCCTGCTGGTCCGCAGTCAGTTAGTGTGTGTGCCTCGTCTAGCGAGCTGATAGTCAGTCACTGAGCGAGTGTCTCGAAGTCTAGCGCCGAGTTCGTCGTCAAGTGCATCGAGAGAGTCTTTTAGTGTATCGCGAGTTAGTGCACCGTCGAGTTTCGCCTTAGACTGTGCTGAATCGAGAGCTATACTCTTGTGCAGTGCGAGCTGTAGCGTGGAGAGTCTCGAGAGTACGTGGAGTTCCGAGAACGACCAAGCACAGTCGGAAGGTGTACTCTGGTGCTTTGCACATTGAAGCCGTCTCCACCATTATTCCCTGACAGTGTGAAGGCTGTGTCGCTGATTGTTCCAGCGTGTTTATAGTAGATCTTCGATGACTGTAAAAGTGTTTTGGAGCTGTCTGTAAAACGTTTTGATATTTGTAAATAAAGTGTGTTTGGATACTTCATCAAGTGTCGTCGTTATTCACTCCAAATCTACGTACGAACGTAAAAGGAGGAAATAACGTAACAACTGGTGTCAGAAAAGAAAAACGCAACAATACGCATTTCAAAGTTCAATTAGGTAAAAAAACTATGCATTGTTTTTAAATGTTGTAGTTAGGTGTGTCAGTTGTAACATTTGGTTACGTTTGTTACGTACAACTAAGGCACCTGCTTATAACAATTCTTAACATTACAACTAGGTACATCAGTTATAGTTAAACCGATAGGCGAGGATCATATAATAATAATAATTTCTAATATAAATTAAGTCGTCGTGTTATGTCGACCAATAAAGAACGATGGAAATACGAAGTTCTTGATAGAGACTGTGTTTAAACAGCGTCAATTTTAATGAGGGGAAAAGATTTTTCTTAATTGAAGATTTCTTACCATTTTTTTAGAAATTTTATTGAGATACAAAAGGAAAATATTTAAGAAAAAAGATTCGTGTTTTTCTTGCTGTACGTATATGTTTTGTCTCCCTGCCCAGCCACTACATAGGTGGTTAGTGACTGAAACGCCGTCGTATGGACCTCCGACCTGAGGTTCTACACCAAATCAGTTATGCCCATGCGACGGAAAGAGAATCTACCATCCACCGCCGGCGGCATTCATTGAATCAATGGTAGTAATATTACGAAGCTAAATTGACAATGTCATCCTTACAATAATTGTTACATAATAATTCGTATGAAAAAAATATACAATCAATTAATTATTACATTGTCATGGATAGGGTCTATATACCGTGGAGAGTGGAACTTATATATTAACCAGTCTCTGAACGTATGTCTACTTCAGTGAGTCATAACTTCGTATTCTTATCAGTTACACACTTAATGATGTGTGTACGTACTATTGTTGCAGTTATCCACAGAGTAGGCCAGTCACATCAGTTCAGGCAGTTGATAGTTCCATACCCCAAAGTGTATGGTGTTGTGCAGACTGTTCTATGTTCATATAAACTGGATTCTAAGTTAACTTTTGATAAATTCGAAGTACACTTTTGTTAACTTCATTGTTCACGTAAACACTTGTCCACTTGGATACATCGTAACTTTGTGTTCTTAGCAGTTTGCACACCTCATTATGTGTCTCCTTAACAATTTGCACACCTCATTATGTGTCTCCTTAGCAATTTGCACACCTCATTATGTGTCTCCTTAGCAATTTGCACACCTCATTATGTGTCTCCTTAGCAATTTGCACACCTCACTATGTGTCTCCTTAGCAATTTGCACACCTCATTATGTGTCTCCTTAGCAATTTGCACACTGTGTCGCAGTTATCAAGAAAGCAATCAAGAAATTGCAATTGAGAAATTCATAGTAATATGTACACTATTTTAACTATTATCGACAGAAGCAAATGTTGTGTAAATAATAACTTGGCTCCCAGATTAAAAAAAAAAAAAAAAAAAACCGAAACTTTTTCAGATTTTAAATTACGTTCATAAGGGCGTTTTTTTAACATTTTGTGTGTTACATTTATTTATTAAATATCATGTTCTTCGCACTTAAAGCACAAAATTCAGTTCAACAGCAATATCGCAAAATAGTTTTAAATTGAGCATATCTTTAGAATTTCCGATACACAGTATCACGCGCTAGAGATAAAAAAAGGTGTTTTTTTTTTTTTTTTTTTTTTTTTTTTTTTTTTTTTTTTTACAACGTTGCCATGGCTCGCTTTGAAATCCTTGAATTTGCTAATCAAAAATTCATTATAGTTTTACAAAATAGGAAATCGATTATAAAACAAATTCCAAATTTCAAATTTGGTCTTCCACATGCCCATACTCATAGGAGGATTACGTCATTCAAAATTCGATGGCTTTATGTACCTTTGTTTTATCGCAATGCGAGAAATATACATACATTGATGCAGATTTTTCCTTATTTAATTTTTTTAAATATAACACAGGGCGATAATACTTTGTGGTAACAGTTTGAAAAGTAATTTGCCGTTTGCAGTGAATCGACGCAAAATCGCAAAACGTAAACGATAGTCCTTCAGGAGCAAAGCCCCTTTGGACTTAAAAAAAAAAGAAAGAAAACTAATTCTTAAATTTTTTTCAATATAATTCTAAATTGTGCAATTTCTTCAAGCAGTTAAAACCGTCTACTGAAAACAGTTATAATAGGCATAAAATACATAATTATTCAGCACATATTATTTCCAATCAATCATGCCATATAAATACACATGTTTCAAATGCTGCAACTAATTTTTCATTACAGGACACTGATTGCTTTCGTGATGGGCCCGGGTTTGAATCCCGGAGAAGATATGGTTGTTAACTGCCTATCTCTTCATAGTAGGTAACTGTGGCCAGCTATTAGGCGCTTCCGTAATAGAATGGTCACCACTTCCGGCCCTTATAGTAGCGCAAGGCTTATAGTAGCACGTATGATGAATTAATTATGTCCGTCTTTTAAATGAAGCGGACTGTAACATTCATTTGTTAAATTGGTTTTTAGGACTTGCTTCTTTCTGTCCATTGTTCTTTAAATAGTTATGGTTTATAAATTACTCTTTTTCAGAAATTTAAAGAATAAAATATAAATGGGCAGCTCAAGCAGTCAACTGACAAAAGCTGAATTAGAAGATTATAAGGTAAGCATTTTTAATTACATTTGTTCATTTTAATTTCCATTAAGCAGCAGTTTCCTGAACGGCAGTAGAACTTCATTTATCTATTTAATGTCTGTTGTATTTTGCTCATGCGTCCATTTCCACAGTTAATTGTTATAAATTTTTTACAATTTTGTGCAATCACCTACTCTACCTTCAAGAGTTAGAGCGTATACATACGTGCTCGGCCAAAGATGCTGTTCTCAGCATGTGCATGATAGGCACTGTGGTATACTGCTGGACAATTGCTAAGGATGGACAACACTATCTTATGATGAAACAGAAAAAGTATAAAAAATTAGCGTATGTACAGACTACAACAAGAAGAGGTGTGCTCATGCAGATTTTAATTTTCTCGCCTGCTTATAACATGAGAGCGCTGATAAAAGAGTTAAGGGATTTGACACTCACGGGCAGTGGCTAGGTATAGTTAGTTATCCAAGTATTAGTAAGGTACGATCCAAGGAACCATAACTGATTTAATGAGCCATTCGCAGTTTCGCCTTAATACGGCATGTACTTAGGCATGCATGGCTTAATCTTTGAGACAAGCATACGACTACTGGCAGAATCAAGCAGGTAGCTTTCTTATACAGACGGATCAAAATCCCAGGATCATGTTGGCGCCGCTTTCGTCACAGAAAAAACAATAGTAGGGGTTCGATTACATACAGTTTGCTGTGTGCTTACTTCTGAGCTTACTGCAATCCATCTGGCTTTGACTTACCTTTCAAAACAAAAGTACATAAAATTTATTATCTACACAGATTCCATGAGTGCCTTAATGTCATTGAAAAATCATGCTCAATGTACTCATCCAGTTGCAATCAGAATCCTAAAGTTGAATCATCATTTAAAAATTCGGGGATACCAGATTCTATATTCGTGGATCCCTGGACACGTTGCCATTAAGGGGAATGAATTGGCAGATATTGCAGCTAAAACTGCAACCACAATGTACAATCTTCAGATTCCACTAGCAGACATCAAAGGGTTTGTCAAAAGCAAAATCCTCAGCAAATGGCAGAAGCAATGGGATGACAGAGTATATAACAAGCTGAGAAATGTAAAACCCACCATTGGATACTGGCGATGTATGGCTAATAGAAAGGAAGATGTCCTCTTGACTCGACTGAGAATTGGCCATTGTCGCCTGACCCATGAGTATCTTCTGAAGGGAGAAGAGAATCCCAGCTGCCCAAACTGCAATGCAGATCTGACAGTCCATCATATCTTGGTGGAATGCCAGAGTTTTAATTATTTTCGCCAAAAACATTTTAATTGTTCAGAAGTGGACTTAGGAAATTTAATTGGAAAAGCATATCGTCGTAATTTGTTTCTGTTTTTAAAAGATATTGGCTTTTATAATAGACTTTAACCTGTTTTTTTAAAAGATATCAGCTCTTATCATAGACTGTAATCTGTCTTTTACCTAAGCTGGAAGTTTTTACAAATGACTAATTGCATTGTTACCATTTGTCTGGCGCAGATAACCTTGACAGGTTTTGTGCCAAATTACAGTAATCCAATCCAATCCATAGCGCACACCTTGGAAATGCGCTGGGAGCCGTTGTCCAGGAGGCTGCCTCTTTTATTTCATACGCACAGATTTATTATCTCGTGCTTTCGGTAGCGGTTCAAAACTCACTACGTCCTCCACGGCATCAGCGCCGGGAGGTGAGAATTCGTGGCATCGAGAGGCTATTTTTTCTGCGTTGGACGCATATTCAAAAGTCCCGTATTTCAGTTTTTATTGGTTAGGTATAGTTTAGTTTACGAGTATGCTGCAACCCTCCTGGCCGTAAAATAATCGGCCTCATGGTTGACGCAGACAAACAAACAAAAAAAAAAGTTTAAAATATTTAAAGTCCTATTCCTGTGATAGTCTTGTTTTCATTAACAATCCTCATAATTTCTGTTGCATAGCTATTCCAGAATTTTCTTTTTTTCAATTATATTCTGTTCATTTATTTTTCCAAACCTCGCCCTCACACTCTCGGTCAGTTTACACTCTTCCATAAAATGAGCTGCATTTCCGTACTTCCCACAAGCCAAGCATCGATCATTGCCCTGGAGATTAAAACGTTTTAAACAGGCCGGGAATCTACCATGATACATGATAACTTGAATAGTATCTATAGATCCATTTTATCTTTAAATAGATCCATCTTATATCTTTAAATCCATCTATATCTTTAATCCACAAATAAAATTATTTATTCTAATCTGCGAGGAAAAAGAAAATAAACAGAGTTTGTCCAGGTGAATTATTTGTTTAGAAAAATGTGTTTATCTAGAAAAATGTTCACAATATGCTCAATTTTTAGAAAGATTGTATGTCAGTATTGTTCTGTGTTACTATGGCATGAATAGCTTGGATTTCCCTTGCTGAAATTTCTCTTTGTTACTTCAAATGCTCACCAAAATTTAACATTAGTTCCCAAAATGGTTTAATATTATTAAAAATAAATAATCTGAAACTTCAATTGAAAGAACATCGACAATCTTTATAAGCGAACACAGAAAAATTTAATATTTGTGAAAGTACATAAATCTTTTAATATTGCTTTTACGTTTTCAACCAAGTTCCAGAAAGTTTAAAATAGTCTCTGATAAAACACTGCAACGAGGGTATGAAGTTGCTTGCTTTTTTTTATACCCCTACTCAACAATCGCCGAGGCCCATCAGCGGTTGAGCGGTAAATCGCTGAATACTGGTAGGTCTGTCCGAGGTTCGAATCCCGCGAACGAGCGTTTTCATGGTTTTACCCATGTCTAACATAGAGAGTTTACCACGAAGCCATCTCTTCTCTTAGGCAGATAGTCCTCGAGTACTTCGCAGTAATCAAATAAACCAAACCAACAATGGCCGATCCAATCGTAAAGGCGCTGAACACAGGAATTTTGATCCGACTTCAAATATCGGTTAATGTACTATGTGTGGGGATAACGTGAATTTGAGTCAGTTTCCCTGAAAACATTCTCCACGAAAGCATCGCCCTACCCTTAACCCTTTGTTGCATATAAATAATCTAGAGAAGTTAAACGAAAATGTTTGTATTTTTTTTCTACTTAAAATAACCTTAGTAATAATAATAAAAAATTAATTTTATTCAAATTTCGCTTTCAATAATTGCTACAGATTGTTCACTATAGCATGCATATACGTACATGCATACAAATCTCTTCCCAACGATTTACGTCATTGCATTTAAAACATGGACCTTATAACTAACCCAAATGGGTTTTCTCTCTCGTCTGAGGCGTTCCCGGCTGTCACCTTGATTTCATCCGGAGGAGTAGGGACGACTTGCAGAAATTTAACAGTGGTTTTCTATTGCAACGTGTATAATTATCAAGAAAAAGCTGGTTGTAGCGCCTCATTTCAAAAATTAGAATTTCTATATATTTTTATTTTTGAAAATGAGATTGATTTTTAAAAATTTAGCATATTTATCAAGCATAATTAGCGTTCCAAATAATTATAAAGCTATTGTATGCTTTCAGAGCTGGATATTTTTTTAGCTTTTCCTATGCTGTAAGGAAATTTGTAACTACTTCTTTTAGAAAATAATATTTTAAATCTGCACTAATAGAAAATTTCAAATAAGCAGTTTTCTCTTGGAATTTTTATGCTTTTTATTGGTGTAAACAAGTAAAAAGTACTAAAATATTTAAAAACGAATTTTTGAAAGTTTTGCTTAAAATTCTAAATTGTGCTGCTTTTTTTAAATTATAGTTGAGTATTATAGCACAATTTCTATAAAGTAATTTTATTTCAATTATATTTCATAATACATCATAGTGATAAACACTTTTGACACCTTAAAAATTTTTATACATTTAATTCTAATATTAAAATTGTATTTAACCGTGATAATTAATTTTGCTTGTATTTTATAGTGATTATTTTTTAAATTTATTTTTAGTTTTGCATAAATTTTTTTATTTACTGTTAATTTAATTTATTACCCCAAAGGTGGTGGTGGTGGTGTATTTATTTATGGCAAAGCACACTAGGGCTATCTGCCTAAGGGGAGGGATGCCTTCGTGGAGGACTTTCTAAGGGAAACTGACTCGTATACACGTTACACACGGGGAAAACCACGAAAAAACCCATGCAGCCAGCCCGTTCGCGGGATTCGAACCTCGGACGGAACTACCAGTGTTCAGCAACTTTACCGCTCGGCCGCTGGTGGGCTTATTACCCCAAAGAGGCGGAGCCATCAAATTTTGAATAATGTAATCTTCCACCCGAGCATGGGCATCTGGACGGCCGAATTTCGAATTTGTTTTAATCTGTTTCATATTTTGTAACACTTTAACGAATTTTTGATTAACAAACTCAATGAGTTCAGAGAGAGCACTTTACGGAAAATAACAGTTTTATTTCCAGTGCGGAAATTCTAAAGATATGCTGTTTTCAAATGTTTGTGGTTTACGGGCGACGAACATGATATTCAATAAATGTAGGTAACCCACAAAACGTTAAAAAAGGTTCCTTTTGGGCGTAATATAAAATCTGAGTGCTTCTAGATTTTATTTTACTTTTTTTTTCCCCTTCATTACACTCAGAAAATTTTATGCTCCAAATTTTATAAATTTCTAAAATAAATATTCCACTTTAATGTTAACAAGTTACGGTTAATAATGATGATACAATCAAGTAAATGATTGTTTTGTAATGTTATTATAGTTTTGAAAATCACTGCCTGAAAATGGTCATTAAATTTAAAAAAAAAAAAATTATCAGATCATGTTTAATTTTACCTTTTTATTTCAAAGCATCACGTACTATCAATCTTATTTAATTTTACGTTATTTGTACGCAAAATTAAGTTCATAAATTTTGTGCTTAGAGTTTTACCGTTTTACCAAAGAAAAGATGTTTGTACAAGAATTACGCGTGGAAACAAATGCGCGAAATGCAGTAAAAAGTGCTTTAATGAGGTATATTAAATCCTATTTGGAAAAAACTGTGGCTTTCATAATCTCATCGCTATACAACGTATCACATTTAATAATTAAAAAGAGGTATGTGATACAAACGCCATAGGTTTCAGTGTTAAAGTAAACCAGATCGTCCCTACTCTTTCTTGCCGACATGTCGGTGACGCGCGCCCCGCCCACTGGGTTAGTCATCTCTTATAAGGTCCATGATTTGAAATCATTTCCTGCCTTGTTTGCAGTGATCATTACCATCTTCTCAATGGTAAATCTACAACTGACATGTACATGCAGATCCCCCCAAAAATACCTTCATTTCGTCAATTGTGATTGAATTCATTTTGCTGCAATTTTGTAACCTGTGCCTATTCGATTCAAATGTCAAATGTTCTAGAAATTCCTTGCCAAACATAAACATTTCCAGTGGTGTTTTGGCTTGATAAGCAGTCCATTTGGGTTTCAATTCACTTTTTTCGGTAGATCTTTATCTATCCACTCCACAATTTTCTCAAACTGACATTTAAAATAAAATGTCTAAAATGACTAATTATGAATAAAAAAATGGCAGTATAAGAAAATGTAAGCAATATTGTATAATATGTACTGTGAGAAATTGTACTAACTTGGAAACAGAAGGTAGCCATTTTCCAAATAGCAGTGCTTTACTAAGTGATGCTCTACAGCCATCTATGATCGACAGTTGAAAGTTCTAATAATATAAAATGAATAAACACAGGAATGGAATCTGTTAAGGCATTTACAGAAGAATAAATAAATTTAAATTTTTGTCCGCTAGAGTGGACATGATGCAACAAAGGGTTAAGTAGATGATCCTCGAGTGGTACAATCTAAACAATCTTAACTGACCTTTAGACAGATAATTTTGGAACATTGTCATAATTAATTATCCAACAAATAATGAATCTTTTCGTTTAAATAAAGCGATAATAATTTTTTTAAACACCAAAAAATTTCTATTGGATGCATTACCCATCAATTCCGTATGTAAGATTGAAAAGCCACTTATGCTCACGATCATAGCGTTTAACAGTTATACGTAGCAAAACGTTTTTGCAGCATAAACATCAGTAAATATAGAATCGTGTTACTTTAATCATATAATAATGAACAAAACCACAGCTCTTACAAAGCAAAATATCTACTCGAAGACAGCAAGTAATGAAATTATGAAGCAAATAATAAATAAGCAAAACACTGGAATAATTTAGATTTTTCTCTACGAGTCTGATTATTATTTTGTTTAATCTTGCATGCAGCTTATATGAGATCTCTATTTCATAACATAAATTTTCTTCCAGGATCTTACTTATCTTACAGAAAGAGAAATTCAGTAGTAAGTATAATACCTTAATTTTTATATATAAATTTGCAAATCTTTTTAAGACAAAAAGTCGGTTGCATATAATTTAATGCCTTTTTGGGGTACTTAGCGTATTAGTGCAACCACCTTTGCGAAGTCTGGAGATTTTTTTTTTTTTTTTTTTTTTTTTTTTTTTTTTGCAGAAGAAAAAGATAATTCGGTGAATTTTCGGATTGGAACTTAACAATGGATGTGATTACCTGAAAAACTGTTATGTATATAGGTGCCAGAATTTGGCGACTTCTACTAAGGTGGTTGCAATAATGCGTAAGCACCACCTTTTTGCTAACGAATTACTAAAGAAAGCTTACTCTGTAAGTTGGAAAGAATATAAGTTTCATCAGTTATTGCTTATGAACAAACTCGGGAAGTATCTGAATGAAATAATGTAGAACAGTATCAAGATTAAAAATTTTTGCGGTCTAATATGTGTATCTTTTAAGAGTACAATATCTCAAATTATGCATCCTGATGTCTTATTGAAGAAAGCCTAGATTTTGTAATACGATTAATATTATATTTCTAAATCAGTGCGTCTCGAATTTGTTTTGCACATCCCTGGAAATAATAGCCGTGTTTCAGAGAACCCCGACATAGAAATGTATGTAAATGGTTAGCCATACATATATTACAATTTTTTCTTTTGAATTATCGGACACATGCTAGAGAACCTAAGAATTCTGAGTGGTAAATATTGTTTTAAATTGTGCATTGCAATATAACAATGATGCGATGCTTTTATGAACGATATGTCAGAGAATATGGAAATGCCTTAATTTCATCTCAACACTCCTTTGATAAAAGAGAAAAAAGGATGTGTACACCACATGTACGGAATATTAAATTAACGCAGTTTTTCCTGCATTTCATTTAAATTTATTTCCTCGAATTTCATTAGAGATATATCTCTCATTCAATTAGTTTAGTTCGCACTTCGCGGCAAGGCAAAAATACATAAAACCTCAAACTATCTTTATTAAAAATTGAGAAACATTGAAAAATATACAACACCAAATACTGTTAAAACAATTAAAAAAGTAATTTTTGCAATTCAAATCACTTTCGATGCAAAAACAAGCCATTCGGCCAGCGGGCAAGAAGGCAGATTTTTCGATGCACAAAATTGGAAGTTTTCTTTTGCTCCCACTGGGCAAAAATACACTGAAGGAGTAGAAACTGACTTAATTCACTATTCTGGCAAGTTTCAAATGTAAACAAGTATGGTTGCTATGGTAAAAAAGTAGGCTTAGCCGCACTTGAAAATTCTTTAAATTGTTGATAGTTCTACAACTATTGCATGCAGATTAACTAAAGTCATATAAACATTAACCGGAAGTTAAGAACGACATAACTGAATCATTTTTGCACGAAGCAAAAAATGCACAATTTACCAACAAAAATTTTTAAAAAAACTGAGCTCACCCAGTTGAGTGACAGAATGAGTATATATATATATGTGATGTACCAGCTTTAGTCGTAGCTTAAATTATCAGACGATAAGTTTAAAAAAAAACAGGATCCATTTATTATTATTCAGGAGAAATAGCAGTTACAAAATCAGATATCCGGAGTAAATAAAAAGAATTACTAATAACTTTTTGTATGAAGTTTACTGCATCGTGACATTTAAGAAAAAGCCCCCGATATTCCTTTGCGAATCCATTTATAGCCTCTGGAAAGGCGGAGCTTCAAAGAAATGACGTCAGCCTCGTCAGCCAATCCAGTTCGCTTTAAATATTTCCAGAATATTCTATAACTGTATGTGTAGAAAAGGCGGGGAAAAACAACTTGACTACGGGGCTGTGGATTTAATTCCACGTACTTTCAAATAAGAGAACGTCGCTATTAAAAATGAAAAGAACATACAGTTAGAATTTGAAGTGTATTCTTGACTATGGAATTTTATTATTACATATATATACACACACGTTGGGTGCGGCCGATTGCAACCAAAACATAAGGTGCACAACTACATGCTATAGCAGTCCTATATACAAAATTTCAACTTTTTGAAGCTATTCGTTTTTGAGTTATGCCAGATACGTACATACGTAAGTACACACCTCACGAAAAAAAAATCTCTTCTTCTTTCTCCATTTTAAATTCTTTTTTTAACTCATTTCGGGAAAAAGAGTCCCTTATTCTGTCCCAGTTATGTGTGATTGTATAATATGTATGCTGCATAAAATAATTCAAAACAGCTGAAACGAAGGTTGACGTTCAACTGAGACGTGGAAAATTATCATTATCTGGTTAAGATATTAACTCAGCTAATGTTCGTTGCCACATCCACCAGGTTTCGTGTCTTATTATGTCTAGAACTTCTTACCGAATAATAATCAGGACCATTTTCACAAATTATGGCACCCCAAGCTTTCCTAGCTGTCAACCCTTTTGAACAATAACCATAAATTTGTCGAAAATGTGGTTTTTATTCAATCAGTGTAGTATGTGTTAAGACTGCACTGGTTCTCGCAGTAAGCGTGCAGCATATTCGTTATTACTGCGCAGTTTTATACGTTGAGTGTTGTATTCCATTATGTTCTTTCTTCTGTATTACAGAACAATGTAGTGATACAGTTGACTTTCGATATGAAAAAATTTAAATGGAATTGAACCTTTTTACTTCCTTGTATGAAGTAAAATGGAAGTATTGTAATCGCGAAAAGTTTCAGGCAGCATATTTCAACGAAAATACCCATTTTGACCGCTATCGAATGCAATTTAACGATGTTTTTGCGTGATATCTGTACGTAAGGCCAGAATAAAAGATTCGTTTCCTCCAAAAAAATTATAAAACTGCTTTAAAATTAATTCTGAAGAGAATTTTTCGTGGTGTCTGTACGAACGTATGTACGTACGTCTCGCATAACTCAAAAACGAGTAGCCTCAGAACGTTGAAATTTTGTATGTAGGACTGCTATAACATGTAGATGTGCACCTCGTATTTTGGTTGCAATCGGCCGCACCAAACGTATATAAATTTATTTATATATATATCCACTCTGTTATCCGGCTCAGTGATCTCAGTTTCTTTACTCTGATATGTTTGTAAATTGTAAATTTTTTGCTTTAAAAATGATTGAATTATGTTGTTTTTATCTTCCGGTTAAGGTTTTTTATGCCTTTAGTAAATCTGTATGCAATATTTTTAAAGTTATCAACAATTTTAAAGTTGTTTATGTGCCGCTAAACCTTTCTTTAGGGCGGCCATTGATTGTTTACATTTGAAATAGCAGACTAGTGGATTTGTTGCCAATCTAGAGAAACTTAGCTTCGCAACAACAGAGATAACGCCTTCATTTGTTATTGCCAATTAAATCATGCTTAATCCTTTCTGGAATTTTTTCGAGGAAATAAGTGTTTAATATTTACTTCGTAATTTTTAATATACATATTTTGAGTTTTTATGTATTTTTGCCATCTCGCGAAGTGAGAACTGAATTAATTAAATGATAAATACTCAATCGTCTGTGAAAAACTGTTTCTTTTTTGTTTTGTTTGCTTAATTTCTTTTATACATAGTTCTAGCTTTATTATAGTATTTGAATAGAACATGTGGCAACGATTCGATAATTCTTTAAATGATATACATTTTGTGCATTCTGAGTTATAATATGAACGAAATATAATAGTATTAAGTGAACTAGCGCCAGAGTGTCACTATGGTAAAGAAATACTAGAGTGAATTTTAAAGAATGCATTTATTCTATTGTGGTTTATGCGCTCTCGGCGAAGCAGATTTAATTCAATCCAATAAGTTTAAATGAAATGCAAGAAAAAATGCGTATAATTTAATATTCCGTACAAGGAAGTCATGTGGTGTACACATCAGATTTTTTTTATGAATGATATGAACTCAAAAGTGATAAATTTACGTATTTTATAAAATTATAGCGAAATATATCTTTTACTCTTTTCCTGTCCTCTCCAGTGCCTGTAAGAACATTTTATTTCCATCTTCTTTTGTGTATTATTTGCAGTCGCAAGACATCTCTGCAAACTCCTTATTTCTCATTGTTACAAAATTTTCATCTTAAAAATCTCTCTCTGTATATAATAAATTAAAAAAAATTTAAAAAAAAAAAATCTGAAAGCCTTCAGATTTTATATTACGCCCAAATGGGCCGTTTTTTACCCGGGGCATTCAAAACGGGATTTGAAAAGTGATACAGACATTCAAAGTTATTCGACGCAAAGTATCGTTACACATTGTAACGTCTTTGCGTTGCTACGCAACCAACATAATACCAGAAAGACGTGTAAAGAAACGTCGCGCATAAAATATCCGTGCTTGAAGATACACGGGATGTTAATATTGTAACGTCTTTGCGTTGCTACGCAACCAACTTAATACCAGAAAGACGTGTAAAGAAACGTCGCGCATAAAATATCCGTGCTTGAAGATACACGGGATGTTAATATTAATGGAACGCTGGGAAATCGTTATGTCTGTTAATCAAAAGTTCGTTAAAGTTTTACAAAATATGAAATAAAAAATGAAACAAATTCCAAAAAATTTGGACTTCCAGATGCCTATATTCGAGTGGAGGATTACGTCATTGAAAATTCGATATCTCTAGGTACCATTGCTTTTTCACAATTCGAGGAACAGACACACATTCATGCTGATTCTTCATTATTTTAATTTCTTTAAATATGATACAGGGCAATAATATTTGGTGGCAACAGTTTGAAACGTGAACCGGCATTTATAGTGAAATTCCACAAAATACCAAAACGAAATTAATAGCCCTTTGGCCTAATAAATGACAACTGATGAAGGAAATTTAATTGAATGGAATATTTCTCCTCATTTTGGATAGATTAAATCACATGCAAATGTGAGTGCTTTGCATTAACAAAACCACTGTAAGAAGCACTGAAACAATATGCTTGCTCGAAATCACTTGTAATTTTTCTTCAGTTTAATCATTTGATAGGGCAGAGATGATTTCAAGCTCTGAAAATTCTGTATTTACATTTCAAAATGAGAAAGCGGAAACCCTATTTCTCTTAAATTACTGAATGCATGAGATAAAAATACACTCATGTACATAAACTAAGGATAATGCCAGCTCAGACAAATAAAGGTTCAGGAACAAAACAAACGTGACTTATTCATGAAGCCATTTTTTTTAAACAAAAGATAAAGTACAAAAAAGATAGTATATGTATGATACCATTTATAAAAACTACGATTTGTGTTCTCGGAAGCAGTTATGGAAGATATCTCCCTTACAAAAGTTTAATATTACATGGTTGATAAGATGATTAATACATTGTATGTCTCCCAGACGATGAAATATAATAACGCTTAGGGCGTTAGGATGAAATACAACAAGGCTTAGGCATGATAAGTATCAAATTATCGAGTTGATGTTGGGAGAGATTATTCCACTCAGCAAGCAGTGCTCTCCGAAGTTCTGGTACACATGTAGGAGGTGTTTGACAGGCTGGACTTCGCTGGCCAAGCATGTCCGACACATGCTCTAGTGGATTCAAATCAGGTGAAAATGCGGGCCATTCTATACGAGTAATAGATATCCTCAGATTGAAGGCATTCCTTTATAATATGTGAACAGTGAGGTCGGGCGTTGTCATCCATAAACACAAATTCTGCGCCTAAACAAACATACCTTTTGTTCCAGAATGATGTCCCGGTAAATTTGGCTTGCCATGGTTCCGATTTTAACATGCAGATCTGTTCTGGAGCCCAGTGTAATTCTACCCCAAACGAGCAGTCCTGCACCACCGTAACGGTGTCGTTCAGTGATGTTATCTTGTTGCCAGCGGGTACCTGGAGGTCTCTACATGAACGTCCGACGCGAATCAGACTGCAAATTAAACCTGGACTCGTCGGAAAACATCACACAAGTCCACTGCGATGATGTCCACATTGCATGTTCTCTACTCCAGGCTAACCACTGACGACAGTGAGTTGCCTGCCGTAAGCGGAACACATCTGACAGGCCTGACATACTTAAAGCCCGTAATATTGTTAAATTCAGAAGTATTTTTCATGAAGTCTAAAAATTCTGAGCCCTGAGATTTCTCCTGTGAATTTTCCATGACATTATTGCTGTTGAACTGAATTTTAATGGTTTAAGTGCGAAGAACATGATATTTAATAAATAAAGGTAACGCACAAAACGTTAAAAAAAATGCCCTTTTGGGCGTAATATAAAATCTGAAAGCTTTTAGATTTTTATTTTTATTTATTTATTTGCATAAAGTAACATGAAAAATCTAAAGAAGCGAAACTGTTCCGAAAAAGTATGAATACAGGGGAATGTGTATTTAACACTGAATAAATGGCCATCTTTCTAAACTGGTGAGATATCACCAAGCTCGCGAAGGTTTTGGTGACTAACGTTTATCCCAAAATTTGGTGAGAAATCGTCATTTGGCGACATTTTAGTCCGGTACCTGTGTAACCGTAATGGGTTTTGTAATTGAGTAACTGCAATTGATCCCTATATGTAACTGTAACCGCATCCGGCACTCGGGTGTAACGTTAATCGGTGCTTCTTTGTTACAGCGGCTTCCAATCAACATTTAAAATTTGTGCCAGTATCTCGACTATAATTTCGCCAAGCTCGCGAAATGCGAGTGGGAAAATAAACAACACAGTATATAATCATAACACTAATACTTGCATTCCTGGGAATATTTTTAAGAGGCCTTATCCTTGTTATGATTTTATAGCATGTAACTGTTCCAGTCAACTACAGCATTTTCACACATATTAAGCTTTTCATTACACCCATGAACGTCATCTCCTATGCCTAAAAATATATCAATCTATTAGTAATGACGAACGATATTCTGGGACCGCTGAACCAATCTCCTTTTCGCAATTTTTAACATCGCACCTTCAAATGGTTTCGTCGTTAACATGGAGTTTCATGTTGTTCTCATTTTCGCATACTCTTTTGTCAGGACCCCTATCTTGAAGGGGGAAAAAAAATTATGCAGCATCCATATCATTACTTGGTAAGTTAAAGACGTTAATCTTCGAATTATGGTAACTTGGAGATTTTTTGGCGAAAATTTGGCGACCAATCCTGCTACAGCAACCGGATAGTTTTTTTGTTGACGCCATTTTGTTTTCACGAAGTAAAGGGTGTTTTTTTTTTTTTTTTTTTTTTTTTTTTAAAAAGGCCAAATTACACTTATGCTAGAACTTTTATGGAACTATCACCTTATCAAAATGTCGCCAAAACTACCTGTTACAATATTCCAAAAATTGTTAACTTCATATTCATACACTCAAAAAAAGCAATGCATATATTTTTAAATTAACAACCCGAATTTGAAAATCTCAAGAAAAATGAGTAAGGTAAGAACACGCTGCGACAGGAAAAATGCAACACAATGTTAATGGAAGATTCCGTGGCGAGATATGAGTACTGGCAGCCAGATCTTGGCGAGATATGTGGGTTGATTGGCGATTCAATATCACAGACAGCTTTAACAAAGAGGTACTGTTTAACCTTATATGCCTTTCAGTAATTTCGAGAATTGTAAAAGTACTAGAGATTTGGTTGGGGAAAATCTATAAGATCGGAGAGAGCATCAGAATAGTTGTTGTTTAGTTTAGCGTGAATTCGGAATATTGAGATATCTCCGTGTTAGCTTCGCTCTTTAGATGCGCTTTGCATCTAAAGAGCCGTGTTTAACGTTCTTAGTAGTTTGAAGTGTGACTAACTCTGTGATGCTGTAAAGACCTGTACGAGCATTTTTGTGGAAAGTTCTAGAACTATGAAATGTTTCTTTTGGTAAAATAAATTGGTACTATTCGGTTTCGAGGGGCGTAAAAAATCGCCAAACTATTGTTGATGCCAATGCTGCCAAAAATAATTGCAGCAACCCTAATAATTGCGGCAAGAAAGGAAGTATAATAGCAAATAACTATTTAAGATTGATGTTTTAATATAGATGAAAGGTTAATTTCATATAATACTTTTTTATTATTATTATTTATATGAAAAAGGCTAAACATGAATTAATGGAAGCATAAGAGTAAATAACTATTTCAGATCATTATTATAATTTATATAAAATTTGCTAAACGTAACTGAATGGATGCCTGCATCGCTTTTTCGCTACCGAGTTATCGCTAAAGGATAATTTCATCTCGTTTGTTCTTCAGACGTAATTTTCTATAATGAATGATGCCTTTTCTTTGAAAATATTCTCGTTACAGTGCAGAATCGCTCACTTGTTTGCCGCTTTTTACAAGGGTAAAAACAATTGTATTTTTGTCAATTTTCTTTTACTTTTTAAGTGAAAATAGGTCGATGTGTACATAGATAAAGTCAAAGGTGTGCGCAGTGCCATTTTTGTGCAATTCTAGGATTTTTTTTTAAGTGAAAATAGGTCAATGTGCACATGGATACCGAGTATGTGCAATTCTTAAAAACGTGTTAAGCAGTTGGTGATTCTGCACGTTACCCAAAATTCTATTGCCGAGTTTTCGTTATGGGCAATTCCCAAATTGTTAAATCCATAGGATATCAAAAAAGATTTAAAAATTAAACTAGTATTTCAATGGCGTCTTAAGAAATACAGAACTATATAAACTTAGGCAATCTGAAATCAGCGCGTACGCTAGATTTGGCGCGCTGTTAAATGGGCGCGTTTGCTAGATTTGGCGCATTTGCGCGTACATTTTCGTTGCAATTTTTTTACAGCACTCGAAACCGAATAGTACCAATAAATTTTATTGCGCTATCATTGGTTCTGTGTGCATTCATTGTATTACGAATCTGTACGCACGCAACACTGTTGTTATTTTAAGGAAACAAAGCTGAATTATTATAAATGCATTGCATTTAACAGAATATTCAGAAAAAGAAAAAAAATTCCGCTTGACTGTTAATGCACACTTTTTCTTTTCACTGTAGCGCCTTCAGAAGATTCAAGAACTTGTATCCGCGTGTGTTAAATAAAGACAAATATGCCAGGATATCTGTTGATTTAATAAAAAGGATGCCAGAATTCCAGGTATGAACCTTTTTTTTAATAATGTACCATTAACAGTTAATAATAGAAATAAATTTTAAAATTTGCTATGAAAATTATATGTGCGATTATAAAATTAGTATGTGAAAATTGTATCCGAAACAGCAAGTGCCATAAGCTTTAAGTAAATCTATCATTTCCAGTTGATTGGGTGTAAATAAAATCTTAATTTATTTATAATCTTTATGGCTTAATGTTAATGATAAATATTACTCATTTTTATTATTCTGTTCTTCCGTACAGTGGGCAATGATAACAAACGTATTCATGCACATTGCCCTTCTAATGCTTTGGATCAATGCTTTTGAGCAAGGACCTATACTACGATCCTTGCTCAAAATATCGCATGGGTCGTAGTATATCCTTTGATCAGATGGGTACCAGCTGCGTTAAATTAAGTGCCGCCCACCAGCAGCCGAGCGGTAAAGTCGTTGAACACTGGTAGTTCGGTCCGAGGTTTGAATCCCACGACCTGGCTGACTACATGGGCGTTTTTGTGGTTTTCCCTATGAGTAACGTGTATACGAGCCAGTTTCCCTTAGAAAGTCGTAAACGAAGGCATCCGTTCCCTTAGGATGACAGAGGCTGTTCACACATTTTTTAGACGATGTATATTGTATTCACAAAACTAAATTACATAAAATTATTGTGTTTTAAATGTTCTATTTGACATCCCTTATTCGGAACTATCTTTCGACACCCCAATTTCCAGGATAATAATGCCTTTTGAAGTGGCAGAAGAGGTATACTATCCCATTCCTCCCGAACAGCTTTCCAGAGTCCTGTTAGGGTTTTGGGACAACGTTTGGATAATGCAGTTTTTAAAAGTCCGAAAGCACAAAAATCCATAGGTAACACATCGGAAGATTTAGTAGGGATATCAGTGAAGGGTTATGGCCTTGATACCAGTTTTTGGTTCCATTTCTTTTAGGAAATTGACAGTGGATTTTGATGTGTTACTGCTAGCTTTGTCCTGAAGGAGTCTCACAGATGGATGGCACTGTGGGTAAAGCGATGGTATTTCATTCAGAAAAATTGGCAATAAAATATGTTCCTGATAGTATTTGGAGTTACTCTTGACATTTTTTTGCACTCTCTTTATTTTTAACTTGTCATTATAAGAAAAAACAGCAAAAATCATGAATCCCTTAGAAAAACTTTCTTTCGATTCTTTGAACCATGTACTTAAATTTTTTTTCTCCCCTGTTATAATAATAAATGGCTCTTGTTTTGTTACAATCATTTCAATACACCCATACTTCATCTATTGTGACAATTGTTTTCCATTTTTCTTTGGATAAGTGTTTCTCATATAAAATTCTGCAGTGTGCACTGCGTCGAGCGATATGCTTTGGAAGAAGACGATGAACATTGCGTTTTTTCGCTTTCTTAAGATTTAAATCAACGTTTATCATTTTGTTTACAGTGGACACCGAGCATTTTAATGATTTTGCAACTGTCCTTTGACTAGGGGGATTTTCTTTTAACATTAAACAGCGTACCTTTGCAATAGTCGAAGATGTCCGTTTTTTCCTTGGATACTTGTTTGGAATTTTTGTCCCACTTGAGGCTTCAATTTGACGTTTTTTTCCTTTCTTGTTGATGATATTACCTATCGACGCTTTAGATATCTCAAAACCATGACTCTCAGATCGTGTTTGGATAACGGAGTATGCATATTTCTCTTCGGAAAGAGCGTAAATATAGCCTTCGAACGGCTGCTTTGTTAAATTCGCCATTTTGATTAAAAACAAAACTTTCAAGCCACAGACGATCATTTTGACTTTTAAAAACATAGTACAATTGCAATTACTTCTTTTGCAGGAAACTTTTTTTTATTACCGCTTACCAAAATCGTCTAAAAAATGTGCGAACAGCCTCTGGATATTCGACGAGTGCTTTGCAATAATCAAATAAACTTAACCAACAACGGCCGAGCGGTAACGAATATGTGTCAATTTCCCTGAAAAACTCTCCACGAAAGCATCGCCGTACCCTTAACTAGATAGTCCTCGAGTTTTACAATCTTAAAAACTTTTAACTGATTTTACTTTAGGCGGATAAACTTGGAACATTATATCATAACTAATTATCCAACGAACAATATATCTTTTCGTTTAAATAAAGTGGGAATCAATTTTTCGTCTCCAAAAAAAATTCTATCATATACATTAGCCATCAATTTGTGTATACGAGCCAGTTTCCCTTAGAAAGTTATCCACGAAAGCATCCCTACGCTTAGGAAGATAACCCTCGAGGCTTTGACGTAATTACCTAAACCATATTCAACAATAGAAATGCTAGAAAACTAGGAAGAGCATGGTTACTACAAAAAGTCATTTATCCTTTTAAATGGCACATTTGATCGAGACAAAAAAAAAAATTTTTTTTTTTTCAAATACTCTGAAAATTTATGCCAACGAAACAAATATTAAGTGAAAACATATGCGCTAAAGTAAAAAAGGAATTCGATGTAACTCATATTGTACTTTTAGTTCATGCTGAAAAAGATAATGAACCAGAGCTTGTTTAATGCTCCTCAAAACCTTCCTACAGAAACTTCCAGGTCGAAGCTTTTAGGTATTGATATATATATATATATATATATATATAATCAGTTTTGACATATATAAAACTGGGAGATTATATATAATTAACCAACACATCAAACATTGGATTTAAGTGAAGCTACTGATATAAATTTGTAGTGCAGTTTATATTAGTTTTTTTGGTAATATTCGGTTTCGAGGGCCGTAAAAAATCGCCAAACTATTGTTGATGCCAATGCTGCCAAAAATAATTGCGGCAACCCTAATTGCGGCAACCCTAATTGCGGCAAGAAAGGAAGTATAATAGTAAATAATTATCTAAGATTGATGTTTTAATTTAGATGAAAGGTTAATTTCATATACTTTTTTATTATTATAATTTATATGAAAAAGGCTAAACATGAATTAATGGAAGCATAAGAGTAAATAACTATTTCAGATCATTATTATAATTTATATAAAATTTGCTAAACGTAACTGAATGGATGCCTGCATCGCTTTTTCGCTACCGAGTTATCGCTAAAGGATAATTTCATCTCGTTTGTTCTTCAGACGTAATTTTCTATAATGAATGATGCCTTTTCTTTGAAAATATTCTCGTTACAGTGCAGATTCGCTCACTTGTTTGTTCGCCGCTTTTTACAAGGGTAAAAACAATTGGATTTTTGTCAATTTTCTTTTACTTTCTAAGTGAAAATAGGTCGATGTGTACATAGATAAAGTCAAAGGTGTGCGCAGTGCCATTTTTGTGCAATTCTAGGATTCTTTTTTAAGTGAAAATAGGTCGATGTGCACATGGATACCGAGTATGTGCAATTCTTAAAAACGCGTCAAGCAGTGGGTGATTCTGCACTTTACCCAAAATTCTATTGCAGACTTTTCGTCACGGACCATTCCCAAATTGTTAAATCCGTAAGATATCAAAAAAAGGATTTAATAATTAAACTAATATTTCAGTGGCGTCTTAAGAAATATAGAACTATATAAACTTACGCAATGTGAAATAAACGCGTACGCTAGATGTGGCGCGCTGTTAAATGGGCGCGTTCACTAGATTTGGCACTTTTGCGCATACATTTTCGCTGCAATTTTTTTTCGGCCCTCAAAACCGAATAGTACGTTTGCCCCCCCCCTAGGTAAATACTAAGAAATCACATAAAACATGCTTTTACTTATTTCAAATTTAATCATTTTACATAAATAGCTCTAATTTAATTTTTAAAATTCTCTGTATTAAATTTAAAAATTCTATTTGTTAAACGTTTCTAAAATCCACACCAATATTATTGTAATATATGTATTATTTAAAACTGTTATTAACCTTTCCATTTTTTAATGAATGAAATTGTTTTAAAGATATCTAATTTTTTTCAGATTCCATATTTTGATATTAGAAACTTTTAAATATTTATTTTGTTTTCAAATATTACTTCTATAACCGAAATTCTTTGAAACGCATATAATTAATAATAATAATTGATAATGATGAGTATGGGCAGCATTTCCTCCGAGCGTGATGGGTATGGCCCAGAAATTTCAAAGTTCCTCAGAATGTCATCTATAAACGGTATTTTCGCCATTATATTTCCAAAATGACCCTTTGTATATGGGCTCCTTTTCTTCCAATGTACGTGCAACCCGAAACCGTATTTGTCAAGATCTGGCAGAAATTTTCATGGGTAACAAATGAGAAAAATAAAAAAAACTCCAACTCCTTTATATTCATACAGGGAACTGGACAAAAATATGGAAACACCTCATGAAAATGCATGCTTGAACATAAATGTTCATTCTAGCTAAAACTATGGTTGTGCTGATGTGTTTGCTCACTAACGCCACCTGTACAACATCCTTAATACATTGCAAGTGCCATTCGTTATCGAGGACAATGTTCTGTGTTGTTGAGAGTGCGTCACATTGAAACTAAATGAACTCAAACTTGGTAAATTGTTGGGACTCGTATGGTGGGAGCTGCCGTATAGCTGAAGTGTTTAGTGTTTTAAGGGGCACAATATCTAAGGTTTTAACTCCATGTTCGAAAAATAGTTCAATAAATAAACTGAGGTAACCAAAAAAAATTCTTGCCGTTTCTGATATGACATTGGAAATGTGAACCTTAACATAAAAATAGTCGCCAAACCTGGCGATGAAGGGCTGGGAATCCGGACCTTAACCAAGAGTATAATAGCGTGTTGCATCGGTACCAAAGATTCCCCAGCCAAGACCTGTTTCTCACGTTAGGATAGTTTCATGTGATGCACCGTACTTGCAAAAATATTCATCTGAGCCGAATACGCCGCACTTTTCGCGGCATTGTCGGCAAGCCATTTGGTATTATCATCGTAAAATGAAGAATTTTTTAAAAATTCATTTATGCAGTCAGTTATGGGCAGCTTAATACTACTGCTGATACGCCACGTGATGGGCAGTTTTTTTTCTCCGTAACTTGTTTCAGCTGCATTCCACGTATTTCGATCAGTCATTTATTCGCGTGTCGTTGATATACTATTTACTGCTTCACTGAAGCTGGGATTCATTTATAGTTCAGTGTGTTAGACGAAGGAAATATGGTACGTACATATTATTTCAGTGTTATAAATTCGGATATGTTGCATTTTAAAATGGTTGAAATTTTTCCGGCCTTTTCTTCTTCTGACCTTTTCCAAATCTTACAATAATTACTCCTTATAAGCAGACATGGCATCACACAGCAACAGTTTTTCTAGTGATGATTCTGACGACGAGGAAGGCCACTTTAATTCGATAAGACGATGCTGTAAAATTTGTTAAGAAAGAAATGTTCAAAATTTGAGGTTTCCCAATTGGCAAGAAACTGTTACTGTAAAGTTGCGAACATTCTGCGAATAGTTGTGTGGATAAACCACACTTATGTTTGCCATGTTTTATTAAAGTTCATCGTAACATCCCTTTGTAATTGCATACAAACTTGAATTTAACTTAAAATGTTATATTTAAAACTGATATACGTACGATAAAAAAAATTATATGTGAGGATGCAACTTGCTTGGCATAGTAATGTTCAGCCAGGTATTGGTTAAACTAATTCCTAGAAAAATTAATTTATTGGTTTGTTGTGTTATGCATGTTAAACTATACAACTTTTCCTTGATAATTATGATTTTTTCGCTATTTTAATTATTGTAAGGCATACGTCAGAAACAAAATAATACAAATGTAAAGCGGTCTGGCAGGGAATGTGTTAATGATGCACCACGCAACGTTCAGCCACAAGCGCTGGACGATGAGGCCCTGAGGGCAGCCATAGAGAGTGACAGTAGCCAAACATGTGGTGAGCTTACTGCACACTTCCAGGTATCTGATAAAACGATCAGACTCTATTTGAGCAGCATAGGAAAGGCATACAAACTGAGCAAGTGTCACTGTTCGATGTCACTGTTCACACCCCAGTCACTGTTCGATGCAAACAAACGATAGAGCGTCGCTGCCTGTTTGTCATTGCTTACTTGGCACCGCAATGCATCCATATTTGATCGAGTACTCACCAGCGATGAAAGGTGGGCCCAGTATAACACACCCAAACGTTCCAGACATTAGTTGTCACCACGGGGTACTCTGTGCCTCACACTAAGAAACCTTCTCTTCACCCACGCAAAATCATGCTCTGTATCTGGTGGACTAGTCGCCAAGTGGTGCACTATGATCTTCTGCCAGTGGGCCAACTCTTCACGACAGGCATGTACTCGCAGCAGTTGGAACGTGTGCATCAGGCACTGATGCATAAAGAGCCAGCACTGGTTAATCGTAAGGGTGTACTCCTCTTCCATGACAATGCGAGGCCGCATGTGGCTCGGGAGCCCAGGGACACCATCCAATGACTGGGCTGGAAGACGTTAACCCGTCCACTATACTCTCTAGACCTCGCGCCAACAGACTACCACCTTTGCTAATTTTTCATCTTACCTGCTTCCAAAAAATACCTAATGTTTCTACGGATGTTCCTCCCCCCCCTTCCAGCCGCGAAATGATCGAATGGGCAAGGTCACAGAATGTTGCTAGATGAACGCGAGTTCTAATTCTGGATGATTAGATGGATATTTCATACATTATCCGAATACATAACGTGAACGAGTTATCTTTGGAAAATCTTTTTCGAAGGTGCTTTCCTTCTCTAGGCGAGATATTCTCCACTACTTTGCTGTAATCGATTTAAAAAATAACAAGCTTTCTTTATTCAAGAACACAGATGGTCGCCTTTAAATGTGTTTGGGCGAAATCTGCCAATGCCAGTCTCTGTGTCGGAAACTGGAGTAATGAAGCAGCAATTAAGGTATACGGAATCTTTATGACCAGTGGTTAAATTCATTCAAATCCGCTTTACTAAGCTCATAAGCGACCCGAACGGCAAAATCCCTGAGCACGGGTAGTTCGATGCAGGTTCAAATTGTGGCAAACAGGTTTTTTGCATGGGAGTTTTCGCTATTTTCGTCTTGTGTAACGTAAATGTCAGCCAGTCTTTTTTTTTAAAAAAAGTCCTCCACGATGGCATACATTTTTATAAACAGACTGTACCGTAATCTAAATAATCTGTTGCCGGGACTTATCTCACTTATCGTGACTTATCAGACCATCAGAACAAGACGACGAAATTAGTTGTGGCAACGAGTGCAAGATTGAGCTTTTCGTTTGCACCATACGGGTGAGAGTACAACTTTGCTCAGCCCCCCAATTTTGATCGAAAGCACCCCGGGGGACGGGTCCGAGGGTTTCCTACCCCCTCTTCCCCTACCAACAACCTCTCGAGGGGACTTTCGGCTGGCCGCATGTTTAGAGTGCCCCCATGTCGCACAGGCGCTATACATTTACAGACATCCATACCTTCTCCGGAATACTGCAGTACGGCAGTAATAGTCACTAACCACTGTCCCACTACGGCGGCTGGCAAATGATATTAATCTATTCTAACCATTTTGTTAAAGCAATGACCTATTTATTAGCCCAAAGGACGTTAGCCGAGAAGGGCTATTAATTTCATTTTGGCATTTTGTGTTGGAAAATGTAAATGTCCGTTTCACTTTTCAAATTGTTGCCACCAAATATGATCGCCCCGTGTTGTATTTAAAGAAATTAAATCATGAAGAATCTGCATAAATGTATGTATGTTTCTTGACATTGTCATAAAAGAACGGTGCCAATTTTGGCCATCCAATTTTGAATGACGTACGTTTCCACCCGAATAAGGTCATCTGGAAGCCCGAATTTTGAATTTGTTTTATTACCTATTTCATATTTTGTAAATCATGAGTTTTTCATTAAGAAACTCGATGATTTCAAAGCGAGCAATGGCAACACTATGTGAAAAAAAAATTGTATCTCCATTTGTAAACATTTGTACCAGCGCACGACACTGTGTATCGGAACTCTAAAGATATTCTCTTTTCAAATTATTTTAGATATTTGTAGCTGTAAAGTAAACATTTCAACTCTTTAAAATATTACTAATTACGGAGATAAACGAGCTAAAAATGTTCCTTTTTTTTTTATAATGCTTCAGCCTAATCGCTTGCCCTATAGTGCTGATATATTATCGTGTTCATGAGAAAGAAACCTCTAATAGCTTTTAACATGATACTGACACCAGGAAAATCCCAGATATATTAATATTTTGATGTGAGTAAAAACGCCAATCAAAACCTCCTGAAATTTGTTCCTTACTCAAGCACTTATTGCCCAGTGCGTGTAGCAAAGTTTTCTTTCATAATTGGCAACATAAAATACCTCTTCGAAATGGCGCTCCTTGCGATCGGGCACCCTTGAACGAGGCACTACCTCATCACCTGCACGGAGCTCTGATCGTTATCCGTAAAGACAATGATAAGGTAACGATTTTTTTTTTTTTACACATTCCGTTTCAGGATGGAGTAGTTGTGAAGTATTTTCCAGTTGCTTCAATATGCAATAAATTTGAATAGTAAACCAAGACTGTCGTGTTCTATGAGTGAGGGATTTAGTCATTATCAAATGTTTCTATTAAAATCAGTGCATACATTTATTCTCCATTATAACTTGATATCTAACTTGACTAAGAATCTTTTACATAAATGCATAGGATTAAGAATATTACAAGAGAATTTTTTTAGCTCAGAGGGCTATTAGTCTCCAAACGTCCTTTTGCAACGTCCTTTTTGTCCTTTGAAACGTCCTTTTTGTCCTTTGATTCAGTACAAGCGTTATATTACTTTTCAAATATTATCATCCTGTATTATATTGTCACCAAATATTATGGCCCTGTATCATATTTAAAGAAATTAAATAATGAAGAATCTGCATCAGTGTGTGTCTGTTTCTCGTTTTGTGAAACGACAACAGTACCTAGGGTTATTAAATTTTGAATAAAGTAGTCCTTCACCCGAACATGGTCACCTGAAATCCCGAATTTGGAATTTTTATTGTCTATTTCATATTTTGTACAGCTTTAACGAATTTTTTATTACAGACTCAACGATTTCGAAGCGAGCAATGGCAACACCTGTACAAAAAATAACCCCATTATCTCCACAGCGCGAGAATGCCTTTCGGAAATTCTAAAGTTATGCTGTTTTTAAATATTTTTAGCCCGAAGGGACATTAGCGTAAATGCTCTCGAACCGTATATGTGTGTGTAAATGAAAAAATGCTCCTTTGGGTGTAATATAAAATCTGAAAGCTTTCAGACTTTATATATTTTTCTTATATTTTTTTATTAACATTTTGTGTGTTTACTTTATTTATTATTATTATAAATATTTCAGAATAATCCCTTCACTCCTCGAATCTGTGATATATTTTCATCCGAAAGAGACGGACACTGGTCTTTTGAAGACTTCTTGGATATGGTATCCGTTTTCAGCCCAAATGCACCAGCTGATAAGAAAGCAGAATACGCATTTAACATCTACGGTAAGAAAAATAAAATAATATTAAAAATTCTGTTAAATGTATGCAAAATACTGTGTGTATAGTGAGTACAAAGTAATGGATTTTTATTAATTTCCGTGGTTTTGATCCAAGTTCTTTTGCAGAAGCGTTTTTAACCAGTTAACTGTGATTGACGAGTATACTCGTCATGGAGAAGCGGCACGATTTTGTGTATTGACGAGTATACTCGTCATGCGTATATTATGTTAATGAAATGGAAAGATAAGAGGGAGGTTTATTTAGTCAGTACTGTACATAATGACAACGTAACAGAAACGGAGAAAGAAACCGGAGCTAGTGATTGATTATAATAAAAAATGGGTGGAGTGGATATGAGCGATGGAATGATCATAGCGTACTCCACAGCAAGAAAACGACTCAAGAAGTACTACAAAAAGATATTTCTCCATTTCGTAGACATTATGTGTCTGAATGCATTCATATTATATAAAAAAATAATGTAACATTATAGCGTATCAACTTTTTGCTCAAATTTATTGAAGACACTTTTGCGACGTATGCAATTGAAAGAAATAAATCGACACTCGGCCATTTAGACCTAATATAAGCCAGTTAGGCGGAAATAAAAAAAAAAAAAAGCAACCCTACGCGAAGGTGTTCGCATTGCTACAAACGTAAGATCAGGAAGGAATCGCGTTACTGGTGTTTGATTTGCAAAGTCCCATTGTGTATAGTAGCTTGTTTCGCCGAATATCACTCCACAGGAGGAATTTAAATTCTTACTTTTATATGTATAACATTTAATTTAATGGATTGCGTTTTTAGTTTAATATGTATGTAATATATGCTTATGTTAAACTAATAAGTCAATCAATATTAGTAATAAAATTTTCAATTTTGTAAAATAAACCCATCTTTTTCATGCAATATCTTACCAGCGCAACTTACTCTGTGATGGACGAATATACTCGTCATGGCTCGATTCTGGCGACACAAAACGATACGCACTCTTAAACGAGGGCGCCACAGTTAACTGGTTAAAGGGGGGAAATGGGTACATCTGTTCGCGGGCGCAGCATCCAGAGGGTGGCAAATTGTTGCTACGAAATTTTAAAATGAAATGCTTTCTATTTTTGGCAACTATGAAGGCGAAACCTTCAATTGTCCCCGGAGGCTAAAAGCCACTGCTATGGCTCGTGGATTTTCGCTTCAACAACTAAACTAATTTAGGATCGCATATTGTTTCGGTATTATTAGCTGCGTATTTGTTACGGTAATAGGATTTCAAAGCGTATCTCCATCTCCAGGCTTCTAATCAAGTTAGCGTATTTTCATATTAAAACATTTACGTTTAAAAACTGCAATCGCGAATGGGCAGGCAAAAAAGAGAACTGGTAGGGATAGACAAGGTAAGAAAGGTAGCATGCAGAGACGTGGAAGGAACATAACTTTCATAACGATTGCGAGACTGCTTGTGCGGTGGGTAAAATCACAGCCATCAATAGTACAGCAAAAGTAGCTACCACCATTCATATATTTTCGCTACTCATACAAATAAATTGCAATGAGAAAACGGAGTTGCATTCGCTTTTCCAGATTTATCAAAATGACATCTATCTTAAAGTGCAAAACGTTCTACAGAATATTACCGTAATTTCCGGAAGAAAGGCCGCATCAGCGTAAACGCCGCACTCGAGAAAAATGGCGGGAAAGAAATTAAAATTACACAGAAACGCCGCATCAGCGTAAACGCCGCAATAGATTAAATTGCGCGTGACATCGTCGTGGGCCGTATAGATGCAAAAACCAGGACTTAGGATCGGATCCTAAGTCCTGATATATGACATACCAGTTAAGAAAAATGCATGAAATGAAACCATAACTCAAAAATAAATTAAAGGTAAGAAATGTATAGCTTCTGTGCCGTTTAGAGAAATTTTCCGCTCCCTTCTTACTTAAAAACTATTCAACAAGTACTTGTACCCAAACTGATGGGATCTGTATTTGGCAGAATGCCAAGAAAAAATCCATTCATGCTGAAGGGGAAATACGTCAGAGTTCGTTATTGCGAGGCAGGTGGAGTCGTGTCCGCCTTTGAAAAAAATTGCAGAAAATGCAGGAGTGGGGAGAGAATGGGTCCTGGAAGATTCATCGAATGGCAGAGGAGAGAGACTGTTCAAACTGATGAGAATGTTGATTTGAAAGGGGGAAGAATGTTATTGTTCTGAGATCTCGTTTAGGGTGAACGGATGTAGGTCCGTTCAAGGGAAAGAATGTAAACAAAATAACGTTCGCAAAAATCAACTGAGTGGTCTTTTGTGTGGGAACAGCACCAGTCTATGCACAATGACCATCATAGGAAATATTTTAATTTTAGTGCACCTAAACGCCGCATGGGTAGAAACGCCGCACCCGCTGAAAATTTAAGTTTTAAACACGTAAACGCCGCGGCGTTTCTTCCGGAAATTACGGTATTGACTTGAATAAGAAAAGGCAAAAATTGTGAAATGGGACGGTTCTATATCTCTCGTTCTACTGGGTCGATTGACAAAATTCAAATTGTGTTTATCAAGTCTCGATATCGTGACTTAAAATATATATTAGATTTATATATAGCTTCGTTCTAATAAGGTATTTTGACACAAAATCGTACTTTTTCTGAAATAGCCTGCCAAATTTTTACCATATTTCGATTCAACGACCAAATTATGCGTAAATATTAAATTTCGTAAAATTTGGTACGAAATTTACGGAGAAATTTAAAAATTTATCTTGGCGCATTTTTTCAAGTTGCGCCAAGAATAATTCACTTGGCGAACTTCTTCATTTATGGCAACCTATTTACCTTTCGCTTTTTACATTGTGCATGAGAGGAGAAAAAAAGTCACCCCATGTTTCTACTCTCAAATAATTTTAACAAAGTGCGTAAACCACATTAGATGTTATGATCGCTTTCAACAAATATGCCAAATTTCAAAACGCGCCACTATATAAATTCACGTATATCTTCGGAAATTTTGAATAAAAAGCTTTCATGTTTTGCAGGCGTGCTTAGAAATACATCTACTTTAAGGTGGTGATAAAAATTTTATAGGTTATAATTCAAAAGTTTTTTTCGAAAAATTTGTAAAAATTATTAAAAAATACAAATATTAAAAATAAATCATAAAAAATGGGTGAATTTTATTTGGAATGAGCCTAAATTTGGAACTGTTAAAGAAGGGATCAAGTAAGTGTTATAAAAAAGGATATATTAATAAATACATACGAAATTGAATAAATATTGAGGAGCTCAAACTTTGAGAGCTGATTTTTATAAAAACTACTCGTGCGATTTTTACAAAACTTGGCAGTTCGGCATAATTTGAGTCGTAATATGGAAAAAAGTTAGCATATCATTTCATAAAAAGTGCGATTTTGTGTCAAAATACCTATATTAGAACAATGCTATATATAAATCTAATACATATCCTAAGTCGCGCTTTCGAGACATGAAAAACGTAGAACGGGAGAGATACAATTGTCTCCCCCCTTTTTTTGGGCAGTGTACAAATTAGTTTTATTGGTATAATCATAAATCGTATCTAATCAGAACTTGGTGACAAAGTGGCTTCTAAATTTTGGTTTTGTGGCTACAAGCAGCTAAAAACAATAAGCTTATAACAGCGAAATTTTTATCAAGATGCTTCAGAAGGAGTCTAAAGAGTAAAGGAAGTTTTGTAATCGTGGAAAATTTTGGGTATCATATTTCAACGGAATATCCATGGTGATCGTTCTCAAATCCATTTGGACGATTTTTTTTTTTGCATGACATCTGCATCTACGGACAGAATAAAGGACGCTTTGTTCCTAAATGGATTCAAAAGGGATTTTTTTCGTGACGTCTGTTCGTACCTCGCAAAACGCAAAAACGATTAGCTGTAGAACGTTGAAATTTTGTATATGGGACTATTGTAACACCTGGTTGTGTGCCTCCCTTTTTTTTATTGCAATTGGCAGTACCAAAGTGTATTGCTATCGTTGGTCTTTCTTAGTCGGATATTTCCAGTTGCAGAAGGGTTTTAAACGATGCAAAATAGTCACGTTTTGGCAATGTCAAATTAAGAAAAAAATAATTTTCGACAAATAATGAAATCTAACTTTCATGCGGTCTCCCGTTTCCTATACTTATATTTCGGAAAGTTTTATACTCATTATGAAAAAATAAATAAATAAAAATACAAGAAGTTTGACACCCGTACGACAAAAATTGAGAGGGATATTTAATTTCAAAATCTGCAATTTTTGATGTCATTTTCAACTTATCTTGAGAGATTAGGTTAATTAAGTTAGAAAAATTCGAGGAAGGAAGTAATGTGTACAATTTAATAGGCCGTACAAGGAAGTAACGGGGTGTCCATACCAGTTCTTTTTTAAATACACTCAGTCTTAAAATGGTGTTAATGTTAAAGAAAAAAAAAGGTATTTTATTCACCCGGATTTAATTTGAAATTACATGATACTTTTCATTTATTATTATTATTGGTTCAGTGATACACAATAGTTGATTTTTTGATTTTCAAATGAAAATTTCGTTTGTTTAGATTTTGACCAAGATGGCTACTTATCAAAAGAAGATTTAGAGACGTTAATATGCTACCTAACAGCAGGTCAACACCTGGAACGGCACGAAATAGAAGAAATAATCGAAAAAACAATGGAAGAAGCGGATATCGATAAAGATGGAATGCTATCACCTGGAGAATTTAAACACGTTTTGATGAAATGCCCTGATTTTGGAAGGTAAGAGAATATTTTTTAAAATTTATTCCCGGTATGTCCAGTACAACATAAACAGACAGAAATCCTTAGGCCATATATAAAAGGGGATAATAATTCTTGCTAGGTTTTTTGACGTACAGTGAAATCATTGAGTTCGTTCATCAAAAATTTGTTAAAGTTTTACAAAGCATGAAATAGATAATAAAACAAATTAAAAAATTCGGGCTTTCAGGTAAGTCTTCCAACAGGTGATGTAGTCCTCCAACCATATTTAGGTGGAGGACTATGCTATTCAAAATTGGATGGCTTTAGCTACCTTTGTTTTTTCACATTGTGAGAAACATGCATACATTCATGTAGACTCTTCATTGTTTAATATCTTTAAATGTAATACAGGGCGATAATATTTTTGTCAATAATTTGAAAAGTGATGCTTTGTTTATAGAGATTCAACGCAAAATGTTGTTTTGAAACTAATATCCCATTCGGGACTAACGTTCTTTTGAGCTAATAGAGTTAACAATAGTTATAATTTAGTTGCTGCTTGTGGCAGATATAAAACTTATTCTGCTTTTGAATGGAATCCTTTGAGAAACTTCATTGCTTTACTAATGCTCGGGATCATTTTCTAAATATAGGAAGAAAGAAATGTATAAAATAAATAAGAAATGTGTAATTGAAAATGTTAGTGGAATAAAAATTGTTAAAAAATAATTAACTTGAATTGCATTACTGAATGAATGAATGAAGAACAACAATAAGCATTTAGATGTGTCTGAAATCTCAACAAACATCACAAAGCATCTAAAATTTGTTAGTTATACAATCGCCTAATTTTAGCAAATTATTATAAAGAAATATAGAGATATAAGTATCAGCCTTAAAAAAGAATTACTTTTGTATAACTAAGGAAAAGTATTCAGTGTTTAACCCTTTCTGGCAGGCTACTCTTTAAAAGTTGGAATTTTACCAAAAAAATTTGTAGGCAGTCTAGTTATGTCTAGGAGAGTATGCAGGTATAATTTTACAAAGATTGCACAAACCGTTTCCATTTTATGGGTATGTTCGAAGCGAACATACTGAGTCGCACGAGCTGCGATAGGTGAGTATTGCTGTGAAGCACATATTACAGTAAAATACTTTGTCTATGATTTAAAAACACTAGAATCTGATCTCTGTAGCAGATTTAGCATACCCAGGGTGCACCATGGGAAGCCTGCTACTCTGTACCCGCCCCCCCTGAAAAAAAAGGAAACTCTCATTGCTTCAGCAATGCTGAGGCCTCTCCGAGCCATTTACACAATTTTAAAATTTATAAGAAAAATACTTAAAATACTATAATATTTATAATTAATTATTGACTAGAAAAAATAATTATTAAATATATATACAAATAAAAATCTACAGAAATCAAAACTAAACAAACTATGCACGCTGAAAGCAAGAGAAAAAAAGGGTCTGCTCTCGCTGAAAATCAAATAGCTAAGCGAAAACGAAGTACCTGGGGTCTTCAAAACCAAAAACAGAAAAAAATAAAAGCATATATAAATAAATCTTCATTCTTTGCCTTTCCCGTGTTTGAAGCATGAGACAGGCGCTATCAGTACGGTGTGTTCAGTCCGAACACACCATAGCACAATATTTCAAGGATAAAAATTAAAAGTAAATACAGAATAGGCAGATTAGCATACAAACAACAAAATTATGTATAGATTTTTTTCATTGATATTCTTTATATTTAAAAAAAATCTGAAACATTTCTTTGAAAAATCAGTATTTTTAAAAACAGAATATGTCTCAACGTTAATGATTTGCTTGTGTGGTGCTGCCATCTATTATTCATAAAAGAGATTAAAAGTAAATATTAGCGTAGTTTTCCTGATATTTATCGATTATTTTCAGTGTCTAAAGAGGGAATATTTTTGGTGTGTTCACACCGAACACACTGCGCCGAAAAGGGTTACAAACCTAGCATTGATTGCAAAAAGGAAGGTAGATGTAACCAAATACTTAATCCAAGATATGCCGCTTGTGTAGCAAATATATATGAATAAATAAAACTACAGTTATTTCAAGATCTTTCTGGCAATAATTTCAAATTATCTTTGTCAAAAGTTTTCCAAATAAAACATCACCAGTGCAAAGGTAAAATTAAAAAGAAAAGTCTGAAAGCTTTCAGATTTTATATTACATCCAAAGAGGCGTTTTTTTAAGGTTTTGTGTGTTGCCTTCAATTTTCACGAATTTAACACATTGCGGCCGCGACTATTCCCGGAACGGTTACACCGAATTTCAAACCGCTCACCCAGGACCACCCATTGACGGACCTGAAAAAGCCCCAAGCGTTTCCTCTTAATCTCAATTTTTGACCCCGGCGCAAGCGACCGAAATTTCGATGGGGCATGGGCCAAACTTTGACCCCCGATATCTCGGTCCCTAATTGTCCGATCGACTTGAAATTTGAAACGTGGCCTAACAGGGTTTCGGCCTTCCTCCCCATGCTCGCAATCGCGGCTCACCCGCAGGGGGTCCCCCCCTTTTCGCCGTAATGCTAAAACAAAAACTCGCGAATATCTCCGAAACGGTTCGATAGAATGTCGCAAATTTTGGTGTGAAAGGGCTCCCTATTTTTTCCTACAAACCCTCCAAATTTGGTGGTCCTAGCTTCCATAGTTTTTTTTTTTGGCGAATTTTTGAAGGTTTAAAAAAATAGGCCAAAAATCGAACGGAAATTCCCTACAGAAAACTCCATTCGCGAATTTTAAAAATCCGAGATAGCCAAAATGTTGCTCTCGAAGAGTAGATCAATTTAAAAAAAAAAAAGTTTCTCTCTAGGCCCAATAGGACCCGACTTTCATAGGGTCAAAGTTCACGAATTTGACACATTTCGGCCGCGAGAATTCCCCTGAAACCGTTGCACCGAATTTCAAACCGCTCACACAGCACTTCCCATTCGAGACACATGAACAATCCCCCGCAAGCGTTTTCTCGTAGCTCAATTTTTGACCCCGGCGCAAGCGACCGAAATTTCGATGGGGTCACCCCAAATGGTGACGGAAATGGGCCAAACTTTGACCCCCGATATCTCGGGCCCCTAATTGTCCGATCGACTTGCGAATTTGAAACGTGGCCTAACAGGGTTTCGGCCTTCCTCCCCATGCTCCGCAATCGCGGCCTCACCAGGGGGGGTCCCCCCCTTTTCGCCGTAATGCTAAAAACAAAAACTCGCGAATATCTCCGAAACGGTTCGATAGAATGTCGCAAATTTTGGTGTGAAAGGGCTCCCTATTCTTTCCTACAAACCCTCCAAATTTGGTGGTCCTAGCTTCCAATAGTTTTTTTTTGGCGAATTTTTGAAGGTTTAAAAAATAGGCCCAAAAATCGAACGGAAATTCCCTACAGAAACTCCATTCGCGAATTTTAAAAATCCGAGATAGCCAAAATGTTGCTCTCGAAGAGTAGATCAATTTTAAAAAAAAAAAAGTTTCTCTCTAGGCCCAATAGGACCCGACTTTCATAGGGTCAAAGTTCACGAATTTGACACATTTCGGCCGCGAGAATTCCCTGTAAAACCGTTGCACCCGAATTTCAAACCGCTCACACAGCACTTCCCATTCGAGACACATGAACAATCCCCCGCAAGCGTTTTCTCGTAGCTCAATTTTTGACCCCGGCGCAAGCGACCGAAATTTCGATGGGGTCACCCCAAATGGTGACTGAAATGGGCCAAAATTTGACCCCCCATATCTCGGGCCCTAATTGTCCGATCGACTTGAAATTTGAAACGTGGCCTAACAGGGTTTCGGCCTTCCTCCCCATGCTCCGCAATCGCGGCTCACCATTAGGGGGGTCCCCCCCTTTTCGCCGTAATGCTAAAACAAAAACTCGCGAATATCTCCGAAACGGTTCGATAGAATGTCGCAAATTTTGGTGTGAAAGGGCTCCCTATTTTTTCCTACAAACCCTCCAAATTTCGTGGTCCTAGCTTCAATAGTTTTTTTATGGCGAATTTTTGAAGGTTTAAAAAAATAGGCCAAAAATCGAACGGAAATTCCCCGCAGAAACTCCCTTCGCGAATTTTAAAAATCCGAGATAGCCAAAATGTTGCTCTCGAAGAGTAGATCATCAATTTTAAAAAAAAAGTTTCTCTCTAGGCCCAATAGGACCCGACTTCAGTTCCATTGTCGTTTCAATTTGAGTTGTTAAGTTTATAAAATTTAAATGAAATAACATAAGTTCTTCTCCATGTTGGTAAGAACTTTTCAAATTATGGCTTAGTAACTTCTTTATCACATGCAGGATTCATTTTCATGCAGATTCTTCATTATTTGGTTTCTTTAAATGTTATCCATGGTGATAATATTTGTTGGCAACAGTTTGAAAAGTGAACCAATGCATAAAGTGGAAGGACGCAAAATGCCGTTTTGAGACTAAAAGCCCTTTGGGCTAAAAACTCTCCTTGAAGTTTACTCCCCCCCCCCATTTTTTTTTTTTTTTTTAATGTTAAGGATTAAAATGTAGTGCAAATTAATGAGAAAACTTTGGTATTTGTACAAAGAAAAAATTCAATATTCTGTAGTATACTTCAGTCTCAAAGATAAATTAAAAATAGTTAACAGTATGAAAATTTGCACATATTCGAAATCGAGGTCATTAATTATATTTTAAGACCCCCCTCCACAGGCAGCAGTCCTCATTGCCATAAACGTTAAATTTCAAATTCTGGCATTATTTTGGCCATTATCATTTTTCTCGCATTTGTTTATAAATTCGACTATGATGACACATGCAAATATTGGTTCATGCATAATAATGATATTACAAGAATTGTGCACTGTTACATTCTGTGAATGAGAGCATACTATGCATTAGTATTGGGGTCAACAACCTTGTAGCTGTGGTGTGCCAAACTAATTTACCAATATGACTCAGGATGCCGCACATTAGGAAATATTTGAAACAATTCGATTCGATTCACATTGTGAAAAAACAACGATACCTAGAGCCATCAAATTTTGAAT